CAATGTTTGATTCAAAATTTGAACAAAATTGTTTTAAAGAAATTGTCTGTATACCAGTACAAGTTTATTGTTTCAGTATACTCGTACTAATAAAATAACAGTGCCAATTGCAAACGCGTGTTTTGTCTTCATGAGTTATGACTGAACGGGAGAGAGCTTTCCTAGGGACATCATTTGCCCAATTTTATTCCCCCTCACACCCACTCCCCACCCCGGCAATGCATTTGAGAGTGTTTGCTTTTATTCGTGACAATGCCAAAACATGCACATACCCACCCACCCATCCACGGCCATAAAACCCTCTCCAGACCGTCAGAGTGAAGCTCTTTATTGCATAACAAAAATTTACAACTTTGGAGCAGTTTGAATGTTTGCGGCGCACACACACGGATGCCACAGCTGAGGGGAGGGAGGAGGCAGCGAGTGCTCTCATCACCATCTCGGCAGGGCTGAGCAGGGCAGGAAAACACTGAATGCTCATCAGCTCTTTTTGGCTGATTACACAGAAGCGCTTCACACTTATTGCAGGCAACGCCAAGGAGTTTTGGACTCTGAATTACTTACTTATGTATGAAAACTTCAACCAGTAAACATGGTGTCAAATAAATGCTGGGGAGGGCTCACTTAAACATCTGGGTGATGGTGAGTGAAGCAAAGGCTGCAGGAGGTGGTCCATGCTGTTTTTAGGGGCGTGGAGCTGTGCCAGCATCTAATCAAGGCATGCTTCGACCCCCTCTGCCCCTGGCAGCTCCAACCTTCCTGCAGGGAAGGGCTGGCCCTCTTCCACCTGCCAGCTGTGGCTGCTCTAGAAGGCAAACCACTCTTCTTAGGCCTTGGTTTGGGGGACATTTTTTTCTCATTTCTACACAAGCAAGGCCAAACCTAGCACTGGTTGCAGAAGCTCTTCTGGGGCCAACGAAGACCTTGTGGTATAAAACTGGTATTAGCAACATCCCCTGGGTGGAGGGGTGGGAAGCAGTGATGGACAGACACTGTACGAACATTGGCAGAAAGCTGTAGCAGCAAGTTTGTCAAGAGAGTGGAGCTCAATAGGTATAAAGTAGGGAGTACTTGGTTCAGAAAAGACTTCAAACTCTCATTGTGTCCTTGACTGAAAACCACCAGCTGCTGTCCCAACACAGTGAGGCTTGGCTGCTCTGTTTCTTCTTCACCCCCATCCTTTCTAGCCCCGCTACTGACTAGCTGAAAGAAAGATACAGGCACGTTGTGTACAGGAAAGCTCCCCTAAATGCAAGCAGAGGCCTCTTCTGACCCTGCTTACAACTCTCCATATTTACAGGGTGTCCCCACCCTACAGTCGACCCCGCCATGCCCTAAGAGAGAAGAAAGCTGCACCAAGGCACAGCCAAAGCCTCTGCCCCGTGGCTGATGGAGTCTGGCTGTGCCAATGAGCACAGGGGTATGTGTTTCTTTCAGAGACTGGAGACCTGCATGGCTTGTTTTGTACCTGTCAGGATACTGGCTCAACGCTTACTCCTCTTAACAGCTGCCCTCACACCTACAAGAAGGTCTAGATGTGCACTCCTTGCAGCCGACACACAGTCATTCAGGTGTGAGCAAGGCTGCTGCTGTGCCAAGCCCTTCCTCCCCAAGGAGAGTTCCAGTAAGCCAGGCTGCATGGGCAGGGGCCTAACCTGCAAAACATGCTGCAGCAAGATGACTCCAGAGCAGGACTGGGAACAGCAATGATGTTCTAGGTATCCTTATGTTTCAAGAAGCCAGAGATGGACACTGTCAGCAGGGATTGCTTTAATGATGCAATGTTGCCCTTTTCAGCATCCCTGCTTGTAGGTCTTTGGTTTGTTAAACTAAATCACTGTGGAGCCAGTGGGCCCAACCTCAACAATGGCCTGGCTGGGGGGAAGCAGGCATGGTCTTGTCCTGCAGCACAGGCTACCACACACACAGCATTCCTCTAGACAGGATGGGGTTGGGGTGGTAGGGTTGGAGAAGACCTGCTTATGCAGAATTGCTCAACAGTAAGCACTTAAAATTTTCATTTAACACAGAAGGACACCAAGTAACAAAGAACCCAGCTAGATGTGCAGGTGAGGTAGATCCACAAATGGCACATGGCGGTTGTGGTCTTGGCTCAGACCATCCTGCCAGGCGTAGTGTGCCCTCAGCTCCCTCTGCCTCAGTTCCTTGTGACAGTGGCAGTGGGCCTGAGCAGGGCACAGGACCTGGGGTTAAATGAAGATCAGGGCAACTACTGCAGCACAGGGCTGGGTGTCAAAGGAGGACTCAAGCTCACCTTTCTTTCCATTTTCCTGCCTGTCTGAGAGCTGGCCAAGTGCTATGTCAATGGCGAGTGCTGACATAGCCGAGGGTTATCCCCAAACAAAACTCATATGTACCTTTGGATGAGATGCAGACAAGCCACCAGCAGCCCATTTTCCTCTCCTGCTCACTTTGGAGAGAGGAGAAAATGAAATAGAAAGAAAACATGCTGCTTATCTAAACAATGTTAAGAGCTGCTATTCAGAAAACCAAATACCTCAAGTCAAAATTTTATCAGTCACTATTCATGGCATCAGTGTGGGTCACAGCCTAAAGAATTCGGGGGCTAACTTGAATAGCCTCTCCTTTCCCATTAGTCACTGGTCAGAGGTATGTGCGGGAGGGGAAGGAAAGTGGGTGTAAGAGTGGCCCCAGGCCTGGGTCTCCACACTTGCCACACCCCTGGAGAAGTAGCCTCCCCTTGCCCCCAGCACCTGCCCTTTGGAAAAGAAACTGTTTTGAAGACATGTCATGAAGCAGCACAGTTCAGTGTGCGTATGATCTTTTAAAAAAAGTTTACAAAATATATATATATAATATTTCTTAAATTCCATTTAGAAATGTAGCTAAAAAAAAGTAGAAAAGCACTAGCGAGAGCGGGCGTGAGACCAGCAGACTGCTGCGCTTCCCACGCATGAAGGCACGAGTGTGGAGACACACCTGTGGTCAGGCCTGCGCCCTGATGGTCTAACCCCACTCCTGATGGAGGCATTCCCTTGCCTTTGTACCCCCTACCCTTCACATCACATAACTGAGGGAACAGTGATGTCCTACAGCCGTACTGCCTGTACTCTAGGCTTGGTACAGGTAAGAGCAGCATATGGCCCATGGTGGTGTTTGTGGTAAAGATGCCTGTAATCTTCTTAACGTGATGCTCTCAGGCTGGAAGGAACAGAGATCAGGGCCTGTATTCACAGGACCTGCTGCTCTTCTGCATTCACATTCCTTATGACATGTGGACAGGACAAATGATCCTTGCAGCCAGCACAAGCATGACCCGCGCTCACATCAAGGTCCTTGTCCACCTCCAAAGCAGAGGAAGGGGTCATCCCACAATTAAGATGTTCTACATGTTAAATGGAAGACATTTGAAATACCAGGCCATTTAGAAGATACTCTGTGCTTTTTCTAATGTGCACAACGGGGATCAGCTTGTGGCCTAGATCTGCTCCTCAGCACGGTCAATTGTACCAATCCTTGTGCATGTCCTTTTGAGCGGTCCAGCATATGAGTTTAATTCTAGAGTTTCTCTTTGCTATTCCTTTTCCTACAGATCACTCTTTTGCTTTTCAAAGGATGCCTGGCTCTTTCCACAGATGTCTACAGGAGAGGAAAGTAAGACTGAGGTACTGCAGTAACATCAGCCACATTATGATCTCAGCAGCAGTTTAAAGTAAGTGGCCAACCATTATTAATTCATTTGTGCTCACTTTTACATCATTTATCATAACGAGCTACTGTGGTATTCATGTGGATGCAACGTGTATTTCCAAAGAAATTCCACTGTGATTTATCAATTAATTAGTGGGCCATTACACTTTATTGAAGTGTTACCCAGAGTCTTAAGCATTCATTACTGCCTTTGGAGCAAATGCTTTAACTCCATCTCAGCCTGCCAGTGTCCTGCAATCAATCAGGCTGCTCTGCCTCTCTTTTGCTTTCCATAGTGCCAAGGACTGCAAAGGAGTGGTACTAAATGGCCAAAAAGTGAATTCGATCCCCCCAGCCCCTTTCATCTGGCCACAGACAATGCACAGCACAGCATTTGTATATCTTTTCTAACTGGATGTGAACATGGAGGGCTTCAAGAAATACCCCCCTTTGGTGGGGTTATGGTTGCCGAGTTTCAACGTCTTAAAAATCTGTTCACAGAGAGCAGGTAAAAGCAGGAACCCAGGTAATTCAATAACTGCACGCACAAAAAAGCAGGCAAGCTCTGAAATGCTTTCTCCTGAACGATCTCCTCCGATGGGGGCAGGGGGCCAGCACGGGTTTGCTACATTCAGTGCCAGCTTCTCTGGAGAAGCAAGTCCATTGAATAGGGCGATTTAAGTAAGAGCAGCAATACCAGCCCTCTGCACTGAGAGTGAGAGAGACCTGGCATTTTCACCAGCACAGTAAGAAGTCACCAGTAGCCAGGCCTCATCCACCCTCCACCTCTGACATTCTGCAGGCTGGCAGCTTTGCTACTAACACCCATTCTCTGTCCAGAACAATGATTAGGAGAATTTGATTTTTTGTTTCTCCATGCAATTGCTTGTATCTTTTTCTCTCCCAGCCTGCAATTTCTGGCGGGTGCACTGCCAGAAGCGGTGGTAGCTGACAGGTCAGTCTTAAAAAAGGGAATGTGTGAATGTGTGCAGGCGTTAACAGCCATGTCTGTACAAGCCAATTCCTTGTTAATTGAGGTTTCAGAAGCTATTTATCAGAAGGGAAAAAAACAGGTGAAGAAATGTTGATTAAAAAATAAAATAGGCACAATAAAAGATGAGGCTATTGCCTTTGGAACCAATGGCACTGTGTCAATAGCATGACCTTCCCCTTCCAAATCTCAGCCATAGCTCCTCCAATGGCTATGACACTGCCATTCTGAGAGGAAAGTTTGCCACTAACACAAAATGGAGGAGAAAGCAAAAGAAAACAGCAGCCCTTCCTGCTCCTCTCCCCCACCCCTCTCTCTCCTGGCCCCCAGTCCTGGGCTAAGAGAAGACCTGGCTGTGCTGCTGGGTGACGCGGATGAACGTTGTTCTCCTGCTCAGTTCCTTGAGCTTGGCAGCTCCCACGTAGGTGCAGGTGGAGCGCAGCCCCCCAAGGATGTCCAGGATGGTGTGCTCCACATCCCCTCTGTATGGTACCTCCACAGTTCTGCCCTCCGAAGCCCTAGAGAAGAGATTGGTTACTGCATTTATGTCTGGATGCAAAACATAATAGTTTGCCTACTGGAGCAATGTGGAGCTTAATACTCTGCATGCTACAGTTTACAAACATGCCCCCAGCTTTACTGCTTGCTTGCCTGCTGCTGCTTGGTGCTCTCAAGCACTCAAATGCCTCAGCTCCACTCACCACCAACACTGGGAACTAGAAGCAGACAGATCTTGTAGATGCTTCACTATCCCAAGAGTTTATTTACAGACCTGCCCCTTCCCCCCTCTACCATCTGTCTACAAGCAAGTGAAACTTCCAGCTTTAATTGAAAGGTAAATCTGACTGAGAGCTGCAAGATTTAAAGTGTAAGGGAAGGCAAGGCTCAGGTAACAGAGAAATGTTGGAGCTGGTTCTCGGAAGGCACCACCCAGCACAGCTCTAAAGAGGCTTCACAGCCCCTGGACTGTCCTGTGTCACTGATCAGACACAGAAGTGCTCTGGCTGTCTCCTACCAGTCTGATTCTCCCAAAGAGATGGAGTGGGAAAGTTGTTACAGAAAATGCTGCAGAGTTATCCTCTAAAAAGGTGATCTAGCACAGTTCAGAGGCAGGCAAAAAGGCCAGAAAAACAGCACTGCCGTGAATACTGTCACGTACTGGTGCATGCCAGCACAGACTGCACTGATGGCAAAAAGCACATCTGAAGAGTTACATGATGGAAGAAGACAGGCAAATAACTTTCACCCCTTCTCCTCCAGCTTTCTCCAGCTTCATTCTCAGCAATTCCTCCTGCAGCGGAGATCCCCAATCAGCAGCTGATCTCACCAGGCTTTAAAGCAAGCTTGTTCTGCATGGCACACTAGCTCCTCTGGAGAGGCAGGCCTTGGGAAGGGCAGTCCAAGACAAATGCAGAGGGAAGAGGGGACAGTCTCCTTCTGCTCTACGAAATGGAGGCAGAAATTATGTGAGGAATCTGTCATTGTTGTAAATGTGGTTTTATTTACTTCTTCCTTAGACAAGTTGTCTAGGGAGTAGTGCAAGAAAGAAAGGGCATGCCTGTTTGGAGGCCCCATTTGTGAATCATTAACAACAGCAACAGCAGCTATGTGGAGGTATTTCAGTGCGAGCCTGGCTATATTTCATCCTGTTAGTTTAAATGTGAGGCTATAGCCCTAGGGAGACAATAAAGGAGAAGTGTTGATATGCCATGTGAATAAGGAACCATGATTAATCTCCCTGCATCTGATGAGTAATTGACTCTTTCTTGAAACTCTTAAATAAACACTGCAGTAAGCGACCAATGGAAGATATATGTACCACTGCCATCTGCACAGGGTTCAGGGGTGTATTGTAAGGCCTGCACTGCTGGGAGTTCCTGCAAGATTTTGAGACAGTGCATGCCTGGGATGTGGGGAAACTGGTGCAAATTCTACCTACCAAATCCTGCCATCCAAAGAGCTTTGCATGCTGTACTGGGCAAAAAGTGCAGGGTTTACTGCATTTGTGCATGACTGCCCATTCAGTTCACACATGAGAGGCCAATTAATTGATGCATGAATGCCCCATCAGTTCAAACATGAGTGCCCTGTAAATTCATGCTTGAGCATCATGTGGGGCGTAAGTTGGCAGGGTTTGGATAGTAGAAAGTTGATGGCAAACAAAGGCAGCCCCAGTTACTGAAGAGATGGGAATATTACTCCCAAGAGCATGAACACTTGGCAGTGCTTTTTTCAGCATAAAATGACAGAAGTGTGGGACACTTACAGCCACTACCCCTGGGAGATGTCTCTGCAGTCGCTACAGTGGTGTTAGGAAGGGGGATGCCACTTTGGCTTTGGAGACCAAAACCTACAAAGTGGTGAACACCTAACAGCACATTATTTCTGACATAGCACAAAGTATCCTTTCACAGAACATCCTGAGCTAGAAGGGACCCACAAGGATCATCAAGTCCAACTCGGCCCTGCACAGCACAGCCCAAACAATCCCATCAGTCCCTGCCCTTTCACTGCCCCTCATGAGGAAGTTGTATACAATGATGAGATCTCTCAATCTACTCTTCTCCAGGCTGAACAGACGAAGTGACCTCAGCTACTCCCCATATGGCTGTTTATGTTCAATTCGTATTTAGTAAGGCCATAAATTAAGTAAATGAATTCTTGGAATTGGAACAATAATGGTAAGGGATTTCATGGAAACTGCCATAATCAGCATGCCAGGGAA